TCAATTACTCAAACACATAGAGATCACATGAATATCAACAAGGTTTGATTACTACACAATACCACGGAATCGATTGGATCACAATTATTACGGTGCATGCCCACATGCCCGTCACCTAGCATGTGCGTCACCTTAACATCGACCACATAGCACGCAATTCAGGTATTCATACCCTCAGAACCAAGTTTAGAAGTGCTACTTACCTTAAACCGCGCAAATCCCTACGCCAACAAGCCCTTGCCTCGCGAATCGGCCTCTCCTCGAATCTAGCCACAAACAACTCGATACAATCAACACAAGTTATAGAAATCAATTCCATATGACAAAGCTAAGTTCTTTAACATAAGTCAAAAGTCAACTAAGAAACTCAACCCCGGGCCCACATCTTGGAATCCGACAAAATTTATAAAATTCGAACATCCATTCAACCACGAGTCCAACCATACCAAAATTACTCAATTCCGATCACAACTCGGCCTACAAATCCTCAATTTTTAGCCTATGAAGTTTCTATAATTCTTTCAATTTTTTCCAACCCAAAATACTAATTAAATGATAAAAACAATGATAGATTCATGTATATTAAACAAATCAGAATTATAATCACTTACCCCAATCAATTCCTAGAAAATCCCTCCAAGAATTGCCTCAATCCGAGCTCCCAAAGTCCAATTATGAAAATTTACTCTAACCCTCATTTTTTCTGAACACTTATATGTTGCACATGTGCTCTTCTTCGCGATCGCAGGAAATATTTTGCGATCGCGAAGTACAAATCCACAAACTGCCAAAATTACTCTTTGCGAACGCGAATAACCCCACACAAATGCGATTCACTGGCTCATCGCACTACGCGATCGTGAACCTCTTCACGCGATCGGGAAGAACAAATCGCATGGACTCCAGCCTCCTCCTTTCTTCTTTGCGAACGCGACCTAACACCCGCATTTGCGTAACACTGCCTTCCCAAGATACGCGATTGTGAACACCTTCTCGTGAATGCATAGCACAAATTCCCACCAGACTACAACACTCTTTGCGATTGCGATCCTCCACTCTCGATCGCGTATAAGGAAACTAGCACAGAAGAATTAGCAGTCTTCAAAGTTTCAAAATGCGCCGAACATGATCTGAATCACAGCCGAGGCCCCCAGGACCTCAACCAAATATACCAACAAGTCCTAAAACACGATACAAACTTAGACGAGGCCTTAAATCACATCAAACAATACTAAAACCACAAATCGCACATCGATTCAAGCCTAATGAACTTATGAACTTCTAACTTCCAAAACCAGTGCCGAAACATATCAAACCAACTCTGATTAAACTTAAATTTTGCTCACAATTTATAAATGACACAACAGACCTATTCCAACTTCCGAAACTGAAATTCGAGCCCGGTAACCACAAAGTCAACTCTTGGTCAAACTTCTCAACTCTCCAAACTTCTATTTTTCCAACTTTCGCCATTTCAAGCTAAAATCATCTACGGACCTCCAAATCAATATCTGTACACGCTCCTAAGTCTAAAATCACCATACAAAGCTATCGAAACCATCAAAACTCAATTCCAAAGCCATTTACTCAATAGTCAACATCTGGTCAACTCTTTCAACTTAGGCTTCCAATCTTGGGACTAAGTGTCCCAATTCATTCCGAAACATCCCTGGAACTAAACCGACTACCCCAGCAAGTTACGTAACAGCAAGTGAGCACAAAATAAGCAATAAATAGGGGAAAGGGGCTACAATACTCAAAACGACCGGCCGGGTCGTTATAAGAGGTGAGATGAAGTTTTGTTGCTGGTCCAAGTGCTTGAGCGAATAGTCTAGAACTGGCCTTGAATGTGCTTCAACGTAAAATTTTAAGTTTGTTTGGCTTGAAAGATTATTGTAGGCTTTCCTTGGATTGCTTGTGCTTTCAGTTAGCACCCTATAGTCATTAACCCCAGTCAACCCCCTTTTGAGCCTTTAGCCTTTCTCTGTTGATAACCATGCTACAAGCTTTTACCCGTTTTGAACGTGATCTTCTCTAGACACCAAACCCTACTAAGCACTCAGATGTAGTAAATGGCTCAAAGCCTAGGTTTGGGGGAAAAGTTGAGAAATCTAAAAGAGGTACCAAGACGTTCCTTTGTGAGAGAAGAGTGAAACCTTGGTTGCATTAGAAATTGAGTGTTGAAACTTGAAGTGAGTATTGCAAATAGAAGGTAAAAGAGGAAGATTTTAGAGACCACCATGATTTACATGAAAGAACAAGAATCCTTGATGAATGAAGTCAACTCTTGAGGCTCAAATGTCACACTACAATTATAAGAAATGAGCAAGTAGCACCTTTTTGAAAATTTTTACACCTTGTTTAGAATGCATGAGTATTGTAGGTAATAATTAGTCCCAACTGAGTATAAATGACTTATAGTGGCTCCTTGAAATGATCATACAATGAGGGAAAGAGGGAGCTAATCTAGTTGCTTGAGGACAAGCAAAGACTTAAGTTTGGGAAAGTTAATAATTGTGGATTTTAACCATTTATTAGTACCTTTTTGCTTTAGTTTTTGTTCGAAAGTAATGATTTTTGTCTCTAAATCTAATGAAAATGATTGAATTGCAGGTGTGATGGAGAATGTGAGCTCAATGAAGAAAAATAACTTAAAAAGGAGATGATATAGCGAAGTTCAGCAAAGAGTAGAAGTTCTAAGAAAGGTACGGTCCGCAGAATTTCATCTGCAGCCGCAAAAGCAAGTGCGGTCAGCAGAAGAAAAATTGGAGCTTCAGGGAATTTTGGTAGAAGTGCGGTCTGCAAACTAAAAAAGTACTTTCGTACTTGGTCCGCAAAACAGGTTCGCGCTGATAAGCCTAAAAGATAAGAGAATGTGCAATTGAACAAGTTTGAAGCATACTTAAATGCAGCCCGCAGAAATCAAATTGCAGCCGCAGAAGCTGAGGTGCCACCGCAGAAGCTAAAGTGCGGCCATGGAACTCCTCCAACTGAAAGCACCCGCAACAGTAACCAAGCAAAGTGCGGATCACAGATGTTGAAATGCGGCCGCATAACCCTCCAAAGAGTATTTTTGTCAGAAGTTTTGGAGCACTATAAATAGGCGTGAAAAACTTTTTTAGGGCATCTTTTTGTATTGTGGCAGTTGCTGGCAGTTATTCTCAGCTATTTGGGGAAACTTTGAGCTACAATTAGAGAGGATCAATTACTTTTTCATTTTAATTTAGCTTTATGTCTTTAATTTCTACTTTTTTTCATCGTTCTATGTTCGTTACCATGAGTAGCTAAATTTTTATCTAGGGTTGTGATCCACTAGTGTGTAAAACTTATGGATGTTTAATATTAATCCTTTCTATTGATAGGGTTATTGTTATTTAGCCTTGTTTATGCTTTGAAGTTAGAATAGTTGCAAACATTGATTCATGCCTATTTGACTTTGTTCTTACTTGAGAAAGATGAATTTAGTCTAGGAAAACTTGGCTAATAAGAAATTAAGCTAGTTGAAGTATTGATTAGTTTAATTAAAGGATTTAAACTAGAGATATGGATACATAATCCAATTTGAACTCATATTCAATTGTTTTTATTGCCACCCGTTTGGTCTTGAGAGAGCCAATTTGGGGATAATCACTTTTTAATTGAAAGGTATTGGGTGAGTACTTGTGTATTGAGAGTCATAACAAATCTTGATCTACCAAGCAAACATAGATTTACTCTACCCATTAGGTGTACACCTAGGCTAAGGTTAAAACCCTAGGCTTTTTCTCTATTTGACAAAACCTCAAAAATATTTCAGTTATTGCTTGTTCATTAGTTACTCAAATTTCTTAGTAGTTTAATTTAGAAAAAGTGATACCCACCTTTGTTTGGAAGCTAAATCTAGTTATTTTGAGTTTCTCTCTTAAGTGTTTACCTCAACGCCCATTTTAAACTCCTTGTGAAATTGATCCCGACTCGCATTGTGTTTATTTTTGTAACGACCGTTTCATATTTCCTTAATTGAAGTGTGAATTGGACATGATCGGCTATCACCAAAGTTATGTGACAAGATTGCATGTAATTAGTTGAATCAAGTCACTTGGACGATATTTGATTGATTTTTTTTTTTATTGACTTGGCATGCTACCTCACTCAGACACGTGGCATGAGTTTATTAGTCATTGATTTGACTTGGCATGCCATGTCATTTGACACGTGGCATGGACCTTGGGCTAATGGAGCGGGCTCATCATTTGAATACCAACTCAATGGACTAGCCCAATGAATTTGAATTTAATTTAAATCGATATTTTGGACTTAAATAATTTAGTCTTGATATTTGGACTTGATATTTTTTGAATTTAGGAATTTATCCGAATTTAATATGGACTTTAATTCCATAAATTTCATATGTCTACAACCCCTGTTATGGATCAAACTAAGATTTAAGAAACAACTGTTTTGCTTTATATTTTTTTTCCTTCTTAGCTGTTATATATAGATTGTATTTGGATCTTGATTTTTAAATTTTATCCTTTTTTGGTTTACAAAATATGAAAAATCAAAATGGTAGTTCATCATGCACCAATTAAACTAATAACTGTTTTGCTCTATCTTTTTCCCTTTTTAGCTGATATATGTAGATTGTATTTGAAAGTTAATTTTTAAATTTTTTTCCTTTTTCTTGGTTTGCAAAAGCATTAAAAAAAATCAAAAGGACGGTTCATCATGTGCTAATTAGAGTAGAAAATAAACAATTCACCTAAATGGATGAACACATAATTAAAAATCACCTATCTTTGAATATGCAAGATGATTCTGGGATTCACTCACGTATCCTTGAATATGCAAGATAATTATGACAATAAATCCCACCATCCATAAATTAAACCTCAATATAGATTTGCATAATTCAACATCTAAAACCTCCTTAGACTTGATTATATATAAGGCTAACATGGTGACCCAAACTGTTATAGTCGCATTCCATTCATTTCCAATATTTTTTGAAGCCTAAAGCCATGGCGAATCCCAGTTCTATCTTATTATTTTCATGTCTTCTATTGTTTTCCATTTCTTCTTTGCATGGAAAAACTCTAAACCCTATAGATTCATGTTGGAGATCAGATCCGAATTGGTCTACCAATCGCCAAGCTTTAGCCGATTGTGCTAAAGGCTTTGGAAGTGGTGCCTTGGGGGGAAAAGGGGGAGCAATTTACGTCGTAAATGATACTGACGATGACCCTGTAAACCCTAAACCAGGCACCCTCCGATATGGTGTAATTCAAACCGAACCACTTTGGATTATTTTCGAAAAGGATATGCTCATTAATTTGAGAAATGAACTTATAATTAATAGTTTTAAAACCATAGATGGAAGAGGTGCGAAAGTTGAAATAGGTTTAGGACCTTGTATTACTATTGATGTTATAAAGAATGTGATTATTCATGGAGTAAAGATTGATATTTGCTTGAAAGCTCCAGAAGGAAATGTTAGAATTAGTCCTACTGAGGTTGTGTTTAGGCCTGGTACTGATGGAAATGCTATTATTATAAGCAATTCTTCAAATATTTGGATTGACCATTGTTTTCTTGGTCGTTCTACTGAAGGTCTCCTCGATATTCTTTTTACTTCTTATGATATCACAGTCTCAAACAATATCTTTTTCAAACATAATTGGGTAAGTGCCTTTCTCTCTTTTTATTTATTCTTTTTTATTTTAATTTTTCAGTATAACAAAAATGTACATGTCGTCGTTCTTCCGTAAATAACAATGCAATTTCAGGTGATGACGCTGGGGAACATAGACGGATTTTATCAGGACAAGATCATGAATGTCACAATCGCATTCAATCATTTTGGTCCTTATCTTAATGATAGAATACCAAGGTACTCCCTCCGTCTCATATTATGTGTTGTGATTCTCTTTTACACACCCTTAAGAAATATTAATTAGGAAAGGGATTGGACTATTCTACCCGTATTTATGTCATAAGATATAATCTCTCTTTATTGAATATTTATTCTATTTATGTATTATCTCCATCTTCAAAAACAATTATTACTAAGGGGGTAAAAAAAAAATCAATTTTGTGTTGAACTTCTAAAATGAAAAATAATTTAATATTATTTTTAGTAACCATGACTGTTAATATGAGACGGAGGGAATACTATTCTATTCCTCCAAAGTTTTTGTCATTGACATGATTTCTAGTAAAGCGAAGATCCTGTTTCCAAAAGTGAGTTTATTCAAAAGCGAAATTTCCTCTTTAAGTAAACCCATGCATCAGACAAAGAATGAGAGAGAAGATTCTCATTCCTACGGAATAACTATTTTGTCAATTGCTTTCCTTTTTAATTTTCTTTTTAATTAAGTGTTGTAAATTGATATTTTCTTAACATTTTATGCTGAATATTTGTATGTATGATGCAGGATTCGATATGGATATGTTCATATTGCCAACAATTATTATGAACCCTGGGGACTTCATGCCATTAGTGGAAGCTCCGAACCAACTATTTTCAGTGAAGGGAATTACTTCATTGCTCCCAACAACGTGACCATGAAAGAGGTGAGTTTGTTTTGGGGTAAATGCCTAAGGTTTAAATCCCATCGTATTTTCTCTATTACATACTCTCTTTATTTATAACTATGTTTAAGTAGAGCTAGTATCATTATACTTGATGAAGTTTACATACATATAACCTGTGGCGTAGCCATTATGGCTGGTCAGTTGAACACCCTTCGCCGAAAAAATTACACTGTGTATGTAAAAAATTCCACTAAGTGTAAAGATAAAAATAAATTACCTATATATATATATATATATATATATATATATATATATATATATATATATATATATATATATATATATATATATATATATATATAATCGAAATTCCTGATTTAGCCTCTGCATATAGCTTCAATTGCCCTAACTTTTGAAATTACAACGTTATATATTCTTGACAGGTAACACATAGGGAATATGCTTTGCCAACGGTGTGGGCGCAGTGGAATTGGAAGTCATCCAAAGACAAATTCTTGAATGGAGCTTTCTTCAATGCATCAGGAAAAGGAAATCCAACTCCAAATTATACTTCACCACAGTCATTTCCAGTTGCTGATGGATCCCAAGTTCCTTCTTTAACTTCTGATGCTGGTCCTCTTCACTGTATCCCTAACCGACCCTGCATTTAATTTGTCCCCTTTAATGATAATGAAAAAAATAGTAGTCTGTTCAATTTAGCGGACGATATTTTAATTTGTCTCGGCAATCTGATTTTTACGATAAAATTTGCAACAGAAAGATGGAATATTATGGTACTTGATATGATCGGGAAATGAATACACAGTTTTACCCTTCTTTGACGTCGCAGTGTAATCTTAACAATGTATGAACTTACATTCGATGGATGTTTTCTTGACAAGAATTTTCTTATAAGAGTAGTGTGCGCGCCAGCTTAATTAATGTGTGTATTTGTTTGGACTATATATCCGTCGAATATATGGTACCTCTCACATGCACAGTTCTTAACCAGAAGCATTTAGAGGCAGCGATCAAAACATAACTTTGACATATGAATTGTAGTATAATATTTTATTTTCAGCATAAAACTTTGCATTAATAAACTCATCATTCTGTAATTCCTTTTCATTCCATCTAATTGCAAATGAACTCAGTATCCTTACTCCTGAACATATCTGCCTAGCTAATAGCATAGGCTTTTGTTTTAAGAACAAATTAATGGCTAATACTAATAGGGCTCACCCTTAAGGGGTGGGGTTGGCCCGATCTGATACAAGTAAAATAGTTAGTAAAGCAACGATGGGGAATTAGTCAAGCTACATGGATGCATGAGCTGGCAAAATATCTAGTAAGAGTATTAGTTAGCTAGTAGATTAGCATTAGAAATAGCTACTTAGCTCAATATACTGGGACCTATATATATATATATATATCCCCTTGTATTACACCTTATGGTATGCAAAATGATAAATGAATGAACTATTTCTCTCTCTATATTCTCTTTCTCTCCCAACCTCTTTTCTCTGTCCCTCTATTGCCCTGATTCCTATTCTCCTCTGATCTCCTCCCCCTCTTCTTCTCTTCTCTGATTGTTCTCTACACCTCGATACCAATAATTTGGTATCAATTGGTATCAGAGCTCAGAAAGTCGTGGATATGGTAACTGGCAATCCAACTTTGGATTTACAAAAACAGTACGAGAATCTGAGAGCTCGACAATTAGATCTTCGAGTTGTGATGGAGCAAACGCAACAGGAATTGCGTGAGGATATGGATCGGAAGCAGGCAGAGCTTATCCAAATACTTGTTTCACTCAAACATTCAATTGACGAAATGCATTTACACCAACAGTTGAAGGAAGTGGCTGAGAACCACAGGCATTTTCAGAAATTGAAAGACAAATTGAGGAAAAAATGGATAAAATCTGAAGAGTCATGTGAATACTACTACAAGTCGTGCTCGTTTTTTGTTCTAGTGGGAGGTACTATCGCCTAAAATATGAAGATCTCCGCTTGTGTTGGAAGTGCTTCAAAAATGGTAAGCTTAACCTCGAAACATCACCTTCAGATTCTGTCCTCATAGAGAGCGCTGAAGTTTTGGTCGATATGTGTTTAATGTGGTTTTTATGGAAAACGAAAGTTATAATGATATAGACTCTTTGGAAGACACATTCATGGCTGAACTTCCCATGGAAAATGAGAGCTGGAATATTGCTCACAAGGTGCTTGATAAAATGCTAAAACCGGTTTATGGTGTCGTTGAGAGTGATTTAGATGCTTTAGACGGCATGTGTTTACCTGCACTTTACATTGAAGCTGAGAGAATAACTGATGCTCACAAATATTTCCGATGGAATGACAGGAAGAGATCATGTCAAGGTAGTACATGTATTCATAATAAATACAAGAGGATAATATGTTGGAAGATGAAAAAGAAATAGTAACAGTTATTAAAGGAAAGTTATAATATAAACTCAAAGAAAGAATGAGAAAGAGTAATTTATGAGTGACCTCATTTTCACTATAGTTGTCGGCTCCAGTTTTTGTTTCAGCTTGAACAATTCACCTCATTCAGTTGGTAGCTCTGTGCGATCGCATGATATTGTACGCGATCGCAGTGCTCAGCCTCATTTACTCTATGCGATCGCATCCCTTTGTCCGCGATCGCGTAAGCCAAATCCGCCCAGTTATTTTTAAAAGTCCAGAACAGTAGCTATACGGGATTTTCATAAAATTTCATAACTTCTTCTTCTCCACACCTCTTGGGGCGATTTTTGAAGGGCTTCTTCACCATAATCTCTTAGGTAAGTAATCTTTAACTCATTTTCTTCGAATTCCGTTAACACCCATTAGATTTCTAGGCTTAAAACATGTAATTTAGGGTAGAAATTGGGGGAAATGGGTTGAGTTAGGGCTTTTTGATTTTTCTTGATTTAGACCTCATTTTGGGGTTGAATTTGGAAACAAATTATATATTTGGGCTCGTGGGTGAATGGGGGATTTGATTTTGGTCCGAACCTCGAGTTTTGACCAAGCGGGCCCGGGGTCGATTTTGGAATTTTGGGAAGAAAGCTTAGAAAACTATATTTAGGCATTGGGTTTGATTTGTTTAGCTTATATTAATGTTGTAAAGTCGTTATATCATAGATTTGATTGAATTGGAGCCTAATTCGAGAGGGAAGGCGGTCGTTGTGGATTGATTTAGTTGTGGAAGTTGAGGTAAGTGTTTGGTTTAACCCTAGCTTGAGGGATTAGGAGTTGAGTCTTGTTTGCTAATTGCTAATAGACTGAGTACGGTGTATAGGCATGGTGATGAGTATCTATACACTGGTGTCTAGCATGACCGTGAGTCCGTATATTGTGCTTATTCCTATTTTGTTGTGACTCTTCCTCGTGTAATTGATGAACTCTATATAATGTGAAGAGTATGAGAAAGAATTATGCTTGTGAACTCTTTGGAGCATTGGCTCGAATGATAAAGTAATTATTGAGTAAGAAAAGAAAGAAAGAGAAAGTTATTATTGTTGTTCCCTTGTCGGGATGTGAAAGTTATTATTGTTGTTCCCTTGCCGGGATTTAATTGTTTACTTGTGTTTCCCTTGCCGGGACTTCTATTACTGTTTGTCTATCCCCTCACCCCATTGTTTGTGATTGTTGTTTGGGTGAGGATGAGTGATAAAGCACGAAGGGTGATGCCGTGCACGATTGTGATATGAATACTAATGCACGAAGGAACATTCCGTGCCCTGTTTTGATTATTAATGCACGAAGGAAGATTCCCTGCCCTGATTTGATTACTAATGCACGAAGGAACATTCCGTGCCATGATATAAGTGTTTATGCACGAAGGGTCATTCCGTGCCATCATTTTGTGAGGTAAAGCACGAAGGGTGATGCCGTGCACTTTATATGATTGTTTGGGTGAGAATGAAAGTAAAAGCACGAAGGATGGTGTCGTGCAACTGTTGATTTCCTACTATCGTTGCTATTGTAGTTGTACTGTTTCATTCCTCAATTATTGATTTTATACTTGAACTGTTACAGCCCCTACAGCATGCTCCCCCTCCCCCTTGACTGGTTAATTTCTGTATACCTTTATATTGCATACATATATATTGAACTGCATAGGTTTGATTGGTAGTCCGGTCTAGCCTCGTCACTACTTCGCCGGGGTTAGGCCAGGCACTTACCAGCACATGGGGTCGGTTGTGCTGATGCTACACTCTGTGCATCTTTTTGCACAGATCACGGTGCCAGAGCAGCTTTTGGACAGCAGTAGGAGTTTTGGGAGCTGATTTCAGTCCAGGAATCCCGAGGTAGCCTTGCTGGCGTCCGCATGGCCCAGAGTCTCTTCTATCTTTACTTTAGTTTGTTATCCTTTGTACCGGAACAAACAGAATTATGTTTTCATTCAGACCTTGTATTTAGCATTCTCTAGACGTTCGTGAGTTTGTGACTCCAGTTCTGGGGTAGAGTTGTATTGAACTTCAGTATTGCTTTTCGTTTATTTATATTTGAGACTTCCGCTTTTATATTAAATGCTTCGTTGTTTTTATAAATATGGAGGTTTGCTAAAAGAGATAATAAATAGTTGGCTTGCCTAGCTCCTAATAGTAGGCGCCATCACGACTCCCGAGGGTGGGAAATTCGGGTCGTGACAAGTTGGTATCAGAGCACTAGGTTACATAGGTCTCACAACTCACGGACAAACTCGGTAGAGTCTGAGGGATCGGTACGGAGACGTCTGTATTTATCCCCCAGAGGCTACAGAGTTAGGAAAACTTCACTTTTGTTCTTTCTTGTCGTGCGATTCTGTTTCTCAAATACTGATTGTCTTTCTACTCTGTTCTTTCGCAGATGGCGAGAACACGTGCTTCCTCTTCTACCGCGCAGCAGCTCCTACGAGGGGCAGAGGGCGAGGCCGAGGCAGGGGCAAAGCTCAGCCCCAAGCAGCAGTCCCAGAGGTGGAGCCTCATGTTGATTATGATGAGGAGGTTCCAGCCCCAGCAACTCCGGTGGGCCCAGCTCAAGTCCCAGAGGTGTTTATAGCCACCCCAGTTCTTCAGGACGCTTTGGTCAGGTTGGTAGGCTTTATGGAGAGCGTCTCTCGAGCGGGTTTGCTTCCAATAGCACCAGCCACTTTTGAGGCTGGAGGAGGGGTTCAGACTCCTGCTACACGTACCTCGGAGCAGGTAGCTCCCCAGGCTCAGGTTCCAGCGGTTCAGCCAGCTGTGGCAGTTCAGCCGGGTATTGTGACTCAGGCCGGCGATGGAGCGGCTATGTCCGCAGATGCTTTGTGGAGACTGGATACGTTCACCAAGCTCTTCACCACCACATTTAGCGGTGCTTCTTCAGAGGACCCCCAGGATTTCTTATATAGCTGCCATGAGGTTCTTCGGACTATGGGTATTATGGAGACCAATGGGGTCGACTTCGCCACCTTTCGTCTATCTGGATCCGCCAAGACTTGGTGGAGGGACTATTGTTTAGCCAGACCAGCAGGGTCGCCATCTCTGACTTGGGACCAGTTTGCAGAGTTGTTTTTGGAGAAGTTTCTCCCAGTTACTCAGCGAGATGCTCTTCGCAGGCAGTTTGAGCGCCTTCAGCAGGGCTCCATGTCAGTCACACAGTATGAGACCAGGTTTATAAATCTAGCTCGCCATGCTATTGTTATACTCCCCACCGAGAGAGAGAGGGTGCGGAGGTTTATCGATGGTTTGATTCAGCCGATCCGTCTCCAGATGGCTAGTGGGAGCCGGGAGTGAGATTTCTTTTCAGGAGGCGACCAATGCGGCCCGTAGAGTTGAGATGGCTCTTGCACAGGGAGGTGGTCATGGGTCATATAAGAGGCCCCGTCATACAGGTAGGTTCAGTGGTACCTCGTCTGGAGGTAGAGATTCTTATGGTAGAGGCCATCCTCCGAGTCCTTTTCTGTCAGCTCTCCAGGTCTCTCATGGTACTTCGGGCGGTAGTGGTTCTGAGCCGCATTATCTAATCAGCAGTCTCTCAGTGCACCACCAGCAC